GGGCTTAAACTCATGACCCTGAAATCAAGAGCTGAGCTGAAATTGAGAGTCAGATGCTTAACCAACTGAGCCACCCAAGTACTCTGGTCTTTCTTGATTTATAACAAATAAATTTAAGGATATAAACTTTCTTCTGAGTATCACTTTGGCCAAATATTATCAGAACATGAACTATTTCCACCACCATTAATTACTTTCTAAGTAGAAAAATAGGAAAAAAGGATAGACAACTCACACTACCTAACACTAATGACCAAGATGCTCAATTTCACTGGGGATCAGGCAGAGACCAATTACAAAAGACATTTCTTTGGCTTATCATGGTAAAAAAACATTAAAGAGTGCTAATATGCCATGTTGGTGAAGGAATGGGAGAGTGTATTCTCATTAACCATCTAGGGAGGGCAATTCAGCTTCACCAGTTAAACCTAGACATGTACCTAAACTCTGACTAGCTAATTCTACTTCCTATCAATGTCTTTTAAGAAATACTCTTGAGGCGCCTGGGTGGCTCAAATGGTTAAGTAAGTGTCTGTCTTTGGCTCAGGTCATGATTCCGGGGTCTTGGGATTGGCTCCTTGCTCAGCAGGGTGTCTGCTTCTCCTTCTGCTCCTCCCCCTACTCATGCTCACTTGCTCTAACAAAGAAAATAAAATCTTAAAAAAACTTTTTTAAAAAAGGAAATACATTTGGAAGCATGTAAGAATATGTGTATAGAAAGCCCATAGCAGTTTCACTTAAAACAGAGAAATACTGGAGGAAATGTAAACATCCATCTACTAGAGAATGGAAAAATTAGTCATGGGATAGTTAACGACCATTTGAAAAGAATAAGGTAGATCTTTAAGAACTAAAAATTGTACCCATGATCTATAGACAAGGTAAATTAAAAAACAAAACAAGTATGCAAAACACTTCATTAAATATGGTCCTATTTTAGGTTAAAAACAAACAAAATGATCTCACATAGTCACTTTTTGAAAAATAAAGATAGCAAAAGGCCTGAAGCAGACACTACACTTTCAAACTATGGTCACCTCTACCAACTGTGAGTAGCCAAGTGGTGACAAGACTTGACTATTTTACTTGTATTCACTTCTATATTGTTTGAATTTTCTTTTTCCTGTGAGCTAATACAAATATACTTTTAAAACTTACTTTAAACAATCTCCCATCCTACTCCTAACCTTAAGTTCTTGAATTATAGTAAGGAGGGCTGAAAGCTCTAGTAATCTTATTAACACGGCCTTTTGAGAATTGATGAATTAATTCATAAAAGCTGCTTAAGATAATGACATTAGTGGAAGAGCAGAAAAGATTGACTGTGTACTAATCTATAATATCATCTGCTGACTGGCTCAGTTACCAACTCTAGCAGGCATTTCTTCCAGGCTACTGAGAAACTGGCAGAGCCCATTTTCATATTTAATGTCTCAACTCCTTTGTCTAAAAGCTCTTTGAGTGATCCAACAGCTTGCCTGGGGGCAGGCACACCCCACATGCTGTGGTCCAATTAAATCTGCTTCCTGCACCACTACTTTTAACAGTTAGCCCAGTATTGCCACGCTGGAAGGAACCAAAGCAAAGGAGGAGGAGATATGAGGCCTTAAGTCCTCTGTGGCAGTTCCCTCCTTAACCTAGAGATCTCTTGACTTGAGGATAGAAAGTTCCTGGAGGGGCAGTCCGGGTGGCTCAGTGGTTTAGAGCCGCCTTCAGCCCAGGGCGTGATCCTGGAGACCTGGTATCGAGTCCCATGTCGGGCTCCCTGCATGGGGCCTGCTTCTCCCTCTGCCTGTGTCTCTGCCTCTCTCTCTCTGTCTCTCATGAATAAATAAATAAAATCTTAAAAAAAAAAAAAAAGAAAGTTCCTGGAGTTGGCAGCCAAGGAGACCAGCCTTATGTATGAAGTTTGTCTGACTTTCTCTTTTCCTTCCTTCCAAATGTTGAGCCAGCTATCTTATAGTGGGTCCAGAATAAGCCTTTGAAAGAGAGAAAGAATCATAATCTACTTCCTCCTTGATGCTAAAAATTCTTCCCTAAGAACAGCTTTCAAATAGAGCATTAAATTAATTAGGTACTTGCTATTTAAGGGTTAATTTCAGTATGATTTATTCTTAAACAACTAGAGACTGCATTGGTGCTCTACTACACTCTCTCTAAATGTTTCTTTTTCTTTTTTTCAAGATTTTATTTATTTATTCATAGAGACAGAGAGAGGGGCGGGGGGGGGGGGGCAGAGGCACAGCCAGAGGGAGAAGCAGGCTCCCTGCAGGGAGCCTGATGTGGGACTCAATCCAGGGTCCCCAGGATCACACCCTAGGCTGCAGGAGGTGCTAAACCGCTGTACCACCAGGGCTGCCCTCTCTAAATGTTTCAATTAAAAGCCTACCAATATGATTAGAAGACTCACTACAGTTAAGATAGCTCTCCAAATTGCTATACAGATCCAACACAATCCCAATAAAAATGCAGCAGGACTTTTTATAGAAATCAACCAGCTCATTCTAAATTTTTGTATGGAAAGATAAAGGAAATAGAATATCTAAAACAATTCTGAAAAAGAATAGCAAAGTGACCAAGGCAAGAAAAGGATGGTCTTTGACAGATCATTCAAACAATTGGCTATCCATATGCAAAAAAATGAATCTCTACCTATACCACATATCACATTAAAAAATTACCTCAAAATGGGTCACACACCTAAATATATACTTGAACCTACAAAATTTCTAGAAGGAAATATAGGAAAAAATATTTATGATCTTATCCAAAAGAAAGAATAAAACAACAGAAAAGGTACATGGTATGTCATCAAAATTAAGAACCTCTGCTCTTCAAAAGACACTGTTAAGGGAATAGAGACAAATCACAGACTAGGAGAAAGTTACATATCTGATAATGTCCAAAATATATAAAGAACTCTTGCAACTCAATAATCAGAACACAACTCAATTTTTAAAAATGAGTAAAAGAGTTCAACAGACACTTCACTAGCTATACGGATGTCAAATAATCACATTAATAGATGTTCACATCATAAGTCATTAGGGGAATACAAATTAAATCCACAATGAAATAGTACTACACACTCACTAGAATGACTACAATTTTTAAAAAACTGACAATATTAAGTGCTAGGGAGGACACATAGCAACTGTAACTCTGATGGAAAAGCAAAATGGTATAACCACTCTGGAAAATGGTGTGGCAGTTTCTTTTCTTTTCTTTTCTTTTCTTTTCTTTTCTTTTCTTTTTTCCTTCCTTCCTTCCTTCCTTCCTTCCTTCCTTCCTTCCTTCCTTCCTTCCTTCCTTCCTTCCTTCCTTCCTTCCTTTTCTTTCTAAGATTTTTATTTATTCATGAGAGACACAGAGAGAGGCAGAGGGAGAAGTAGGCTCCCTGCAAGGAGCCTGATGCGGGACTCGATCCCAGGACCTCAGGATCATGACCTGGCAGTCTCTTATAAAGTGTGGCATATAGTTACCTAGGACCTATGGTTACCTAGGACCCAGCAATCCCAACTTTAGTGTTTTTCCAAGAGGTGTGAAACAATGTTCACATAAAACCCTGCAAATGTTTATAGTTTTATTTGTAATTGCTAAGAACTATAAATGACCCTCAACTAGAGGATGGATGAACTGTGCTATGTCCACACAACGGAGTACTACTTGGCAATGAAAAATAACAAATTACTGATATACACAACAACATGGATGAATTTTCAGTGAATTATGCTAAGTGCAAGGTACCTGACTCAAAGAGTACATACTGCACTATTGCCATTTATAGGACATTCTGGAAAAGGCAAAATTATTGGGATTGACATAAAAACAGTGGTTGCCAGAGGTAAGGGAAGGGTGTAGGACCAATTATAGAAGGACACAAGAGAATTTTTGGTATGATAAAACCATTCTATATTTTGACTGGGGTGGTAGTTATATAACTGTACTTGTCACAACTCACAGAACTGTACACAAAAAGGGTAAATGTTACTGTATTTAAATTATAACTTTTTAGAGAAAGCTCCAAATGGAAACCATTAAAAAAACCAAACCAAAACAACTACTATAAAAATGACCACAAAGTTTCTGTGTGCTGGAAGAGAAACCTTTTAAACCCGATCATTAAAAATAATATCTACAATGTCATACACATACTATGCACATGTTCTCTTTGTCACCCCCTACCCTCCGACAGGCCCAGTAAAAGGTGGTTCCAAAGAAACCGTTGCACCCCCCATTCTTACCAAACAGTGACTGTCAGGATTGAGGGGAGGTGCTAAATAATACCCCATGGAGGACCTAGTACCTGGAAGCCATAAAGAGCTGGAAGAGGCCACAGTAGTTCCTTCAAAGTGCAGTGGGAATGGCACTGCCCCTTGTTCTTTCTGAGAACAGAGGCTGTCGCCCATCCTCCGGTAGGGCAGCACGCTCACCTCTGTTGTGACTGCGTTTAGGTCGGTGGCCTGGCTCTCGGTCCTGCAGCACTCACTCCCTCACAGAGGAAACCGATTTTTGCAGAGGCAATAAAAGTAGGCCAAGGCGACAGAGCATTCTAGTTACCGGATGGCAGCCAATCACAGGCCCCTCCCCAGGAGCATCTCACTCTGAGGTCAGGACTCAAAGCAGAGCCTGTGCTGTCAGCCTAAACCCAAAGGGACCGACTTGTTGGGCTGGTTTTTCCACAGCATTCACTTGAAGGTTTCTGACTTGAGACCCCAAATCAATCTTTGTAACACTGTGGGCCATCTCTCCTTCCACAGGGACCACCTGGTCTGTCTGACCTAACACCACCTCCTTGCTTTGCGTGCTAAAGGGGGGCAAGCCAAATCTGACACGGGGTATTAAAATGAAAGGTCATAATATACCTGCCACCTCCAACGCTGTGACCCAACTTCCCCATCTCAAGGACCGTCACCCTTTCCTTCCCACCCAGGATCACACATTTAAAAAATCCTTTTGAGGTTGCTTCTGTTGGGAGCAGGGTGGGGGTGGGGGTGTACCTTTTGGTTTTCCGTCCCCATCCATGGATCCCAGCTTCTTTGTTTCTGCTGTTAACAACAGCTCGTAAGGATGCTCGTCTTCCTCCCTGGCTGCACTTCCCTGAATCCAGGGCCTCATGGCCAAGACCTAAGAGAGAAAACACCATAGAACTTCTTGTGGGGTAGCTAATACCAGGACAGGTTGTGCAGAACAAATTTGAGATTATTGGCTCCTTTTTCACCAGAGAAGAAGGGAGATGGGGAGAGAAGGTAAACAGCTCCAGGGTCACAGGGAACCACATCTGCTTCTCTGGATATGCACCTGTACCTCAAATCTCAATGGCCTTTGATTAAAACACTCTCCTTTTCTTACCTCATTTTATCCTTCAAAAAGCCATTAATAAAATCTAAGATCCTCCCTTCCCTCGCTTCCTCTCCCATCATCACAGTATTCTACACGGTCTCTTTTCAGTGGATAGTAGCTTCCAAGGAGTTTTTAGCTAGGCCTTCTTTCTCCATGATTCTTTCCTAATATGCACACATACTACTCCAAGGCTGGAATCCTTTCCACCTTCTCAAGAAGGAATCAAATGACTTCTGACTGACCCTGAATGACTGACATTTACCAGAAACAAAGTACCCTGTGTATCCTTCTCTATTTTTGTGAGCCTTTCTTCATAGGTCCTGGGGGTTACAGGGAAGTTTCTCTCAAAAGCTGGCTTCCTACTACACTTATGGCAATACAAGTTTAAATTGATTCCACCAATCTCTGTTCTGAAAAAAAGTCAAGTGGCTAGCAGTATGAATTTCAGGGGAGAAAAAAAAGGAGCTCTTGTCTATGGAGAAATCCCTGATACACGCAGCCAAGTGTCTCTGGTGGAATAATTGGATCAGAGCTGGCTCCTACACCCGCCACCTAGATTTAGGCAACTGAGGGCCTTGTGGCCACAGCTAGTCATGATACCAAAGTAGCCAAGCTTCCTCCTCTAACCAAGCCAGAAACACAATAATTAGTGCCACAGTCACACTGAGAGAGAGAATGAAGATCCTTGATTTAGAGAATCATTTTGGCTCATCTGTACTAAGAATCCAACGTGTTTCATAGGCAAATTAAGAATAATGATGTATCAGCTATTACCAGAGCAAGCCAAAGCACAAAACCTCTTCTTGTGCAGTTTGGCTAGGAGAAGGGATAGATTATGAACAAAGGGGTTCAGAGGAACTCGCAAGTCCACCTAACAAATAATGGTAGCCTAATAAATGTGATTCTCTGGTACCTGCAGAAACCTCTTCCTTCAGATATGCCTCACAGCTCACTGGAAATGAATTGGGTTTGTGACTCCTCAGGGTTTTGCTTCTGGGAGACGTAGCTCACAGTGTTACAGCCTAATGAGACAACATGGATTCTAGTGGCCTCAGACTAAATGAGAGGTTGTGGCTCTTGTTTGGTAACAAGACTGCCACTCCAAAGGCAGAATGATAGTTTCTTTCTGAAATTCTGCTAAGCACAGCGGGGACCTCCACTTACTGAAAGCCACCTGGAAGCTAAAAGCTATTTCATTACAACGAGCCATTTGTCGGTATTAGTTACTCGTTTCACCTCTTCATAGGAACACAATTAAAGGAACAAAGAGGGACCATTAAGCAGTTCATACAGTGTCAACTTAATACCACAGGCTTTACAGACAGGAATTTGTGTTCTGCAGGTTTACACACCCATAGCTATCACTTAGCCAGAGCCCTGGAAATCTGATTCCAGTAAGTGTTCTGCACACAGCAAGGGCCCTCATATAGCCCCAGGCATGCTTGTCTGAGAGGTAGTTGACAGTCTGGATACCCAGCCAATAATATCCTTTTTTCTTAAGCAGGACAGCTGATGACTTCCATCTGGAAAATCAGGTCCACTCGACCTTCATTCATTCTGTGCCTGGCTCCTTGCACAACAACTGAAGCATAGAAGCAACAAATGCTGGGAGAGACCCAAACCATTACAATCACAGCTCAAGAGCACCTGGCTCTGTCATTTTGCAGATGCCCAAACCAGGTTCCCAGGTGGGTCTAGGGACTTGCCCAAGGTTACATAGAGAGCAACTAGCAGAAAGAACCAGGGCCATAAAATTCACTTCCCCGGATTCTGGACCAAGATGGCCTCATTTTTTCCTGGGAAACAGGACTTTCCATCCAATTTGGAACTCTTTCCCTTCTTCAGACTCTCTAGTGAGAGTCCCCTGCTCACACCCAGACAACTTCTAGGGTGATCTTTTCTGCTTTAGTCCTGGCTCCCACCAGTTATGGGATTAAAATCTCATAATAAAGCAATAGACTGCTTTGCTTTGAGCCTTCCTAACTCCCACTCAAGAAGCCCTGTGTCACATTGAATATAGCAATAACGGATTTTCAATAGAAAGGATTCTGCTCTTTACTAGATTATTCCCTAATCTTTTCTGCCCCTTTCTTCTAGGGCTGGCAATAAATCAAAGCCAAAAAGCGATATTTTCTGCTATAAGTAAAGCAATATTTTTGCACTAGAGAGAAGCTACTACCAGTCACCACCTAACTGTAACCAATTGAGTGACTGGTCGGGGTGTGGGCAGTTTTCTGGGAAGAGATACCATAGTAGCTGCACCCTCCCATGAATGTTTAACACATCTGAACACTGAAAAGACCATGGTCAGTATGATGCAGCTGGCAGCCCATTTGGCAGGGCAAAAACATCTCAATAGCATGTGTGCACACACATGTGTGTTTAATTTATTTAAGCCAGTTTCGTGACCTGGTCATTAATCTAATAAGCTCTCCTGGGGCCAGCCATACTCAGCTTCCTTTAATGGCTTCTCTTTTCTTAAGATTTTATTTATTTGTTTATTAGAGACACAGAAAAAGAGGCAGAAACATAGGCAGAGGGAGAAGCAGGGTCCCTGTGGGGAGCTTGATGCAGGACTCAATCCAGAACCCGGGATCATGACCTGAGCCAAAGGCAGATGCTCAACCACTGAGCTGTCCAGTTGTCCCCCCTTAAAAGACTTCTACAGGTCATCTGACAATGGCAAGTCTTGGGAATAGGACACAAACACTGAAGCTGATTGCCTGCCAAATATAAAAGTCTAAACTGTGATGAGCCAGTGCTTCCTAGGATGTGAGTGTTATGGTAGTAAAGCTATGAGAGTATAAGAAATCGAGACAAAGAAGACTAGAGTCAAAACAACAACAACAACAAAAAACCAAAACAAAACAAAAAAACCCTTCACTTTTGGAGAAGACCTATTCATTCAAACTATAGCAAAAATAATCTATCTTGATCATTAAAAGGATAATGATGTAGACCACATCATCTCTTTATTTATGCACTTATAATTACTAAGTAAGCAAAGCCGGGGTTCTCATGGTCTTCTAACTTCTGACTGCAGTGGTCCAACTGATCCAGACTCCCAGGCTATTCAGAAATAAGTCCTATAAGTATCTCAGAGTCCCTTATCCAGAAGAGTAATACGGAGATTTCTCCGTCCAACTCTTGACACTGTTTTTATCTTTTTTTAAGATTTTATTTTTTTAATTTGAGAGGACGGGTAGAGAGAAGCAGACTCCCCACTGAGCAGGAAGCCTCACATGAGGCCAGATCCCAGGACCCGAGATCATGACCTGAGCTGAAGACATGCTCAACTGACTGAGCCACCCAGGTACCCCTCTCTTGACACTTTTTTGACAAATTTTATGCTCTGAAAAGCCTTGGGAGAACAGAAAGTCCTCATTATCTAATATTTCTTTAAGAGCCTTGCCCTTATCCTTGGACATTAGGAATTCTAATCCAAGTCATTGTTAAATAGGTGGCATAAGCTCTGCAATCAGGCAACAAAAAGAAATAAAAGACATTCAAATTGGCAAAGAAGAAGACAAACTCTCCCTTCACAGATGAGATGATACTGTACATAGAAAACCCAAAAGACTCCACCCCAAGATTGCTAGAACTCATACAGCAATTCGGCAGTGTGGCAGGATACAAAATCAATGCCCAGAAATCAATGGCATTTCTATACACTAACAATGAGACTGAAGAAAGAGAAATTAAGGAGTCAATCCCATTTACAATTGCACCTAAAAGCGTAAGATACCTAGGAATAAACCTAACCAAAGAGGTAAAGGATCTATACCCTAAAAACTACAGAACGCTTCTGAAAGAAATTGAGAAAGACACAAAGAGGTGAAAAACTATTCCACACTCATGGATTGGAAGAATTAATATTGTGAAAATGTCCATGCTACCCAGGGCAATTTACACATTTAATGCAATCCGTATCAAAATACCATGGACTTTCTTTAGAGAGTTGGAACAATCATCTTAAGATTTGTGTGGAATCAGAAAAGACCCTGAATAGCCAGGGAAATATTAAAAAAGAAAACCATATCTGGGGGCATCACAATGCCAGATTTAAGGTTGTACTACAAAGCTGTGGTCATCAAGACAGTGTGGTACTGGCACAAAAACAGACACATAGATCAATGGAACAGAATAGAGAATCCAGAAGTGGACCCTCAACTTTATGGTCAACTAATATTCGACAAAGCAAGAAAGACTATCCACTGGAAAAAAGACAGTCTCTTCAATAAATGGTGCTGGGAAAATTGGACATCCACATGCAGAAGAATGAAACGAGACCATTTTCTTACACCAGACACAAAGATAAACTCAAAATGGATGAAAGATCTAAATGTGAGACAAGATTCCATCAAAATCCTAGAGGAGAACACAGGCAACACCCTTTTTGAACTTGGCCACAGCAACCTCTTGCAAGATACATCCATGAAGGCAAGAGAAACAAAAGCAAAAATGAATTATTGGGACTTCATCAAGATAAAAAGCTTCTGCACAGCAAAAGAAACAGTCCACAAAACTAAAAGACAACCTACAGAATGGGAGAAGATATTTGCAAATGACATATCAGATAAAGGGCTAGTATCCAAGATCTATAAAGAACTTATTAAACCCAACAGCAAAGAAACAAACAATCCAATCATGAAATGGACAAAAGACATGAACAGCAATTTCACAGAGGAAGACATAGACATGGCCAACAAGCACATGAGAAAATGCTCCGCATCATTGGCCATCAGGAAAATATAAATCAAAACCACAATGAGATCCCACCTCACACCAGTGAGAATGGGGAAAATTAACAAGACAGGAAACAACAAATGTTGGAGAGGATGTGGAGAAAGGGGAACCCTCTTGCACTGTTGGTGGGAATGTGAACTGGTGCAGCCACTCTGGAAAACTGTGTGGAGGTTCCTCAAAGAGTTAAAAATAGATCTGCCCTATGACCCAGAAATTGCACTGCTGGGGATTTACCCCAAAGATACAGATCCAGTGAAACGCCGGGACACCTGCACACCAACATTTATAGCAGCAGTGTCCACAATAGCCAAACTGTGGAAGGAGCCTCGGTGTCCATCGAAAGATGAATGGATAAAGAAGATGTGGTCTATGTATACAATGGAATATTACTCAGTCATTAGAAATGACAAATACCCACCATTTGCTCCGACATGGGTGGAACTGAAGGGTATTATGCTGAGTGAAATAAGTCAATCAGAAAAGGACAAACATTATATGGTCTCATTAATTTGGGGAATATAAAAATTAGTGAAAGGTAATAAAGGAAAAGGAGAGAAAATGAATGAAAATATCAGAGAGGGTGACAAAACATGAGAGACACCTAACTCTGGGAAATGAACAAGGGGTAGTGGAAAGGAAGGTGGGCGGGGGGTTGGGGTGACTGGGTGATGGGCACTGAGGGGGGCACTTGGCGGGATGAGCACTGGGTGTTATGCTAAATGTTGGCAAACTGAACTCCAATATAAAAAATAGAAAAAAAAAAAAAAGGTGGCATAAGGCATTTATAGAGACATAGCCCGAGTGAATCTGCTCCATTTTACCAGGTTTCTCCTTATAAAAAGGGAGTAATGAAGCAAATCTCTATATAAAAACATGCAGAGATCTGCTATAGCACTTCTATTTGCTAGCAATGTATTATCACCTTAGAGGCTGTAATTCTAGAGACCCTCTTAGTTGAAACATAATAATAAGCATTTTGTAATTAAGGCATACGAAGAAATAGGGACAGAATTTGTACCTAGCATAAACATCTTCCACTATTTCCAACACTGACATTTACATTCTTTTTTTTTTTTTTAAAGATTTTATTTATTTATTTATGAGAGACAGAGAGAGAGAGAGGCAGAGACACAGGCAGAGGGAGAAGCAGGCTCCATGCAGGGAGCCCTTGGTGGAACTCGATCCCGGGACTCCAGGATCACGCCCTGGGCCAAAGGCAGGCGCCAAACTGCTGAGCCACCCAGGGATCCCCAGACTTTTACATTCTTAAGAGGACTTCCTTGTATTTATACATCTTGTTAAATGAAAGCCACTCTTCTGACTCCATGTTTTTATTAAGTAAAAAGAACCTGTCTCACTGGATGGTCTGTGGCAATACAATAAAAAAATTAACTCTGACTTCTAAGGATAAAGTAATGAGATTTAGTGGACTAGTTTATATCAGCTGATTTTTTTCTTTTTTAAAGATTTTATTTTATTTATTCATGAGAGACAGAGAGGCAGAGACACAGGCAGAGGGAAAAGCAGGTTCCATGCAAGGAGCCCGACATGGAACTCAATCCTGGGACTCCAGGATTATGCTCTGGGCCAAAGGCAGCGCTAAACCGCCGAGCCACCCAGACATCCCCCACAGCTGATTTTTATTTTTTTTTTATTTTTTATTTTTAAATTTATTTATGATAGTCACAGAGAGAGAGAGAGGCAGAGACATAGGCAGAGGGAGAAGCAGGCTCCATGCACCGGGAGCCCGATGTGGGAATCGATCCCAGGTCTCCAGGATCGCGCCCTGGGCCAAAGGCAGGCGCCAAACCGCTACGCCACCCAGGGATCCCCCACAGCTGATTTTTAAATTAAAGAACAATTCAGGCCACTGAATGAGCTGTAAAGTAACCAAATTATGTAATATTTTGAATAAATACTGAATATTTTCTGCACAGTGGGAAGTATTAAAGGAGCATTCTGAAAATGAAAGATCATAGAAGATATTTTCTTCATATAACCAAGAGGTAATATTGAACTATTGGCTCTATGATAATATTTATTTTTTAAAAAAAGATGGACTAGACTTCTCAAATAAACTTCTTTGATTTCTCCCACCCCCACAACTCCCACTTCTCTTCTAATTGAGTCTTTGTGACATTTTCCATGTTTGTCTTGGTAGATTCTTCACGCAAAATGAAGAAGAAAAATATGAAAACAGAAATATGACACTTGGGGCAGAAGCACCAAAGCTTGCTAATGTGACATAGTCTCTACAACAGTGATTAGGGGCATAGTCTACATTTTGTATCAAAAGATGACACAGGAAAAAAAAAAAAAAGCAAAAAGTCAAACTCTTTAGCTACTGGAGCCAGAAGAAATTAGGCATGGTTACAATTAATATGCAATGTAGATCAATAATCGGCCCGTCTGCTAGACAGCTCCATTAAAATTCTTTGCTTAGTACTTCTGAGTGAGTTGGAAAGGTCTTGTTCCAGATTACTGACATACACAATACAAATTTACTGATCCAAAGAGGCAATAAGAAAATGAAAAAGCACAGTCGTCTTTAAGCACACATCAACGTATTTTCCAAAAAATCATATCTCAGTGATGGCAATAAACCCTCAACCCTCTACCTCAGAAGCTGTCAAGGGAAAATACTTCTTATCTATGCGCTCTTCCTCCTCTTCATCGGGTGGTGGCTTTGCAGGAGGCGGTGGACGTTCCCTCTGTAGAAGAGAAAAAGTATTTTACTACCTCTTTTTTCAAATATCTAACTGTTCTTATCTTAGCCCTTGGAAATGAAAAATAATACTGTAAAGAACTCCCCTGAGAGACTAAACTCAAGGATCTGTATCTAAACAGATGGCTTAGTATCTGCACATATACCACCTCCTCCACACACATACACACGTAAAATTCAGTCAGCACGCGCCTCGCTTTTTGATGTTTGTAGCAGAGATTGTAAACACTTCTTTCATATTCTAGACCATGGTGAGAAATATTAGCACTGAAACCATGGAGCTGCATCATCAGAAAATGTCCTTCATCATATCCATAATAAAACTCTAGCCTAGGAAGGCCAATGGCTCAACTTTCTGACAATGTTAAAAAGAGGAAGTAAGTAAATCAAAAGAACCAATTTGTCTAAGTTCTAACAAACCCAAGTTATTAAGGAAGTAATGAGGAAAGTAATCAAAGATAAAAATATCAATTTCTGTTCAAACTCAAATGCTACCCCCATTTATTCATCAAAGCTCAGAACAGGTCTCTAATCCTTGGTCACCTCCTTCAATGATTACTATTATGTATCATTCATATATGAAAACCTTTCATCTCAGCTTATTTAAAAAAGGAATATTTGTCAGTTATCTGCCCTATAGCAAGGACTGGTAAGCTCTTTCTCAAAGGGCCTCTCCAAGAGAGGAAATATTTTAGGCTTTGTGGTCAACCCTGCCACTGTAGTACAATGTAGACGGAGAAGATATGTAGATGAGTGTGGCTGCATTCCAATAAAACTTTATTCACAAAAATGGGCAGCTGTCTGTGGGCCATATGTTGCCAATCCATGCCCCAGAGCAAGAAGCACCCTTAAGCAGAGATTCATGAGGTCAAGCGAGGTAGATGACTTTAGGAATACACACAACATCTGGTGGCAGAAAGCTGGAGAGGTTTGCCGTTGTACCTGCAATATCGTCAGCACTATCAACAGTCCAAAGTCCAAACCATGCTTCATAATCAACATTCCTACCACAAACCTGAACCAGAAGTTGGCTTGTAGCCTCATTCCCTGGCTTGTAGGTTAGTGTACTGTGTTGCTAGAACAGGAATATTTATAAAAGCCAGGGTGGAGGCACCTGCTGAATTATGCAAGAGCCTCAGAGAAGTCTGCAGGATGTCTCCCATGTCCTAGGAGCCACAAGGGTCAGTTAGCATTTGGTTAGCATTTGGCATCCATGATCTCTCTCTGTTAAAATATGCCTCAGCACTCAGTATTCTTGATAAATCAGCCCTTCCAATAGTTACTGGAACCAGATGGATACCCCACGGCAACAACTTCAAAACAGACTCGTCTTTTCAAGCCAAACAAAACTATTAGATCAGATTGTCCACTCAGCTCCACTTTTCCTAGCTGTCTAACTGCAGGAGTGCAGAAACAAGCTTGGTTCCTTCCAGGTGTCACCTCCACAAGGAAGGGGATGGGAAAAGCAGCAGGCCTGTAATCTACACCAGTTATCCAACCCTGGGGTAAAGATAGCTGAGGAAAAATGAAATGAAACACAACAACAGCAAAAAGGGTCCATTCCAGAAGCCTTCTCAAGACTAAAGGAGCCTAGAAAAAACAATATGAGCACTTCTTGTGCAAGAAGTGATCACCAGGGACTCTGGAAAGAGAGAGAGAAGCAAAAGCCTCTGCTTTTCTAATGTGAAAACGCTGACCCAGGTCCTGTAAGCACCAGGCTGATTTATGCTCACCGTCCATTGCATTTGTAAGACACAGAACAGTCAGTCCCTTGGCCACAGTTAATTACCAAAGGCCAGGAAGGTAGCACAGCCACAACATAGTAAAAATAAAAAAGCACGCAAACGCCCCCTCCCCCCCCCACCGCCCCCCAAATGCATCAGAATTTACTTAGCAAGACCACCAGAGGATAGATTCCTGGAGTGGGACGGAACAAAGAGACTATAAATCAGGGGCTAAACCCACAGGAACTGGGTCATTCAGAGCTTACTTCAGGAACCCTGCGTTCTTCTTGTAAAGCCTCCAGCTCCCTCTAATGGACATCACCTGTAAGGACCATAAAGCGATGCTCTTCTCCACAGGTGAAAGTGAAACAAACCAGCTCTGACCACAGAAGCACCGTGCTGGTGGTGCTTGGCATGTACGTGTGCTTCCACCGCTCACGGGGGGTTTTATCAGCCCTTGATAATACCCACTATGGCGGTCTACTGCAAGACTGGTGGGCTTTGCCAAAATCCATACAGAAATGATGGGACTATTCTAGGACCAGGCACAGAGCCTAACCAAAAAAGAACATGAAGAAACATCAAGCCATCCCCAGGCACATCTGAAAAGGATCACCTGGCAGCCAAAGGGTCATCCAAATGGTCATGGGGCAGATTCAGACCAAAAGAGAAAGGCCAGCCTCTCCAACAGGAAGAATTAATATACCCTGAAAATATGCTGCAAGTTGGGATCACTGGGATTCTGTTAGAGCAATGGCAAGTTCGACAAAAATGTGGTGCTCAAAGCCTGAAATTCTTGTGCCCGGCAATGCAGAAAGGAAGGTCAATGGGACTATGGATTCAGGCTTAGGCTCAGAGTAAAACCCTGAGGGAGAAAAAGAGAATAAAACATCTTGAGAAGGATGGACAAGACTGGAAGCAGAAGCAAGTACTAGAGAAAGAAGCAGTGAGATGGGAAGGTAGACCTTGGGAAAGAAATGGCTGGAGAGATTGTAATTGGGAAAAAACGGGAATGCTGCATGCTAACACATATGATGTCTGATTAAGCCTTGCTACCACCCTGCTGAAGGCAGAATCTGTCCAGATCCAAATGGATAATGCTCGGAGGGCAAATGGAAGGTGCGAATGCACTCCAGGTAGCCAAGAACTTACTTCACTGAGCTCTTTCACCGTGGAACTGCTCTCCAGAGAGAAAACTAACAATACAAAGCAGAGACCCCAAAGACAGAAGCAGCAGATGCCAAAGGGGAATAAAATGCTTCGATCTGCTCTAAGGCCCAAAACTAACAGGACAATGCACACATATTACGCTGAAATCAGAAAAACCAAAATTCGACCTCAAGGCACTCTATACGATTTAGCCACACTAAGCAAGAGTGAGATGTGACAGTGCCCAGAGGGACACGGAAGCAGGGTGCAGGCCTCTGGAAAGCGAGCCACCCTCAGAGCACAGTCCCTCTGCCCTCTGCCATGCCCCAGTGAAGCACAGGCTGACAACACAGTCCCCAGCTTGGTGAGGGCCCCAGGCCACATACAGGCCTCACTCCAGCAGCCTTCACTCCTGCTGCCTCAGTCTCCTTGTTCACAGAGTCTCGGTCAGACGATCGCCCACTGGCCATGCTGTCCAACGAATGGCAGGAGACGGCATTATATAGCGCCTCGTAGGGACCCTCCTCTTCAGCATTTGTGTCAAAATCAATGATCAGTTCAGTCACTGCTTTCTCCACATCACCTGAAAAGGTCAGAGAGTGAGAGTCAATGGCTGGAGAGCAGTTTCGGATTTCCAACCACTGCAACCACCCAAAGCCCCTCATCAGCCTGAATTTGATGAACAGTAGCTAAGAGCAGGAAAAGAAAATGACTGCTTTGCTCCATGGACAGGAATCAATACAGAGAGTTTCAGTTGCTCTTTATACCCTGAGACTTAAAGAGATTTTTCTCTAATTCACTATAGCAAACCCTTGACGTCTATGACGTCTATGAGGGATACCTCCCCAAGACCTTTATGAATTCCCAAGGACCTCAATGCCATCATAGCATAACCTTAAACCATAAAACATAGCAAAATATAACTGCAAACTTAAGTAATCCTTTAAATTCTGTGATGCCTTTCTGACATCTTGGAGGCTGTGCAAGGTTAAACTCACTCACCAGAGACCTAGTAACAGACTACCTGGGATCTGAGTCTGCGACTCTGAAAAGTTACGGACTGTTGTGGATCAGCCATCTCCGGGTCTCTGGCAAATAGTCAAAACCGTAACTGTAAAATCCTTGAAAGCTAACATCTTAGTGAACTACTAATCCCATAACTAGTAGATTATGAGGTCAAGAAAAAGTACAGGGGTGGTGGAGGAGGGGGTAGACGAGGACTCCACAGTGAAGACAGGCCGAGCACCCTCTAACCTCATCCTGCACTCCTCTGAAAAATCCCTTTCCCCTTCCAGTGTCTGGTTTTGTTCTGTTCCTCTGGCTGTCTTTACCGTGCTTTGTAAATACCTGAAGGAAGGTGTCAGTCAGCATTTTGTCTTTCTTGTTCATCATACCTGGGACCCAAAAGGCTGCTCGATAAATCTGAAATGGTGGATTTCAGTGGCTAATGATGGAGAGGCTGGACTGCCCAACCTAGTGCCCAGACTGCATTTGTTAGCCAAATGATATAGTACCAAAATCTGCCATATACTGTCTACCAACCAGATGACACTCGTTTATTATATATTGAGGGCCAACTGTGCTTAAAGCATGATAGCGTGTGTATAGAAAAAGGTTTCCTTGAGATTTGAATTCATCTTGAGATCACCCTGTCTATGACACATCCCAAAACAGACCTCACAGAGCCAACTATAAATTAGAGAATAAGATAAAGTAGGAAAGAAGAGGTCCAAGCTCAAAGGCCTAAGGTATATCCAATAAAAAAAAGTTCATATACTAGCTGGAAACCAATACATTTGATTATGAACTTATTAAGTACTCCCAACCCCCTGAAGTTATTATTTAAATGAAGCTTTTTGCATTCTACCAAAGCCAGTTCAACTCTTCAAGGTGAGAGCCCATTGGTTGGCAGAGAAAGGCCGCCTTACCCTGAGACTTCTGGGATATGGAGTCCATATTGGAGATGAGAGGTCCCTGGGACCTGAGGGTTTTATCAACCTCTTTTGCACTTCTTTTTCCAGTCATGTGATCTACGTGGAAAGACAAAAAAAGCTTCAGCAAATACAAATTCCTTGGTTTGGCTAGTGTGTCCCCAGGCCAACCCGACAGGCAGATGAATGGGTACCTTCAATAAGCGCTGCTATCTGCTGGCTCTTTTGAGAAGGCAGTTCCCGGACAGTGTCTAGGGCAGTCAGGCCACGGTTATCTTTGATGTTGACATCGATTCCTAGAAAGGCACACCAGGTTGAACAGGGGGAGTGAGCAGTTGCAAGACAGCCTTAAAGGGGGTCCAATTCCAGGACTCCTAACGCTCCCAGTAGTACAACCAACATTTTTCATCCAAAGACATTTAATCCAGCTCTTGTAGAACAATTTGTACACTTGCAATCAACCAATGGAGACATACATACATTGGGTTGGAGGGCAGCCAGCAAAAATCCCCCTCCAGGGAGGCTAGGGAGAAACAAGCCCACCCCGGGCATGCTGTGTAGACGAGAGCGCTGCCGACCTCTCACCTGCAGCCAGCAGGATTTGCACCACATCAGTCTTGCCAAACAGAGCAGCCTCATGCAAAGCACTGCCCTTCTCCGTCTGGAAAGCAAACGAGAGCGCAGAGCAGCATGTCATCAGAACAGTGACCCAGGTTTGGCGTGGCTCCACACGACAAACGGGATATAGACAAGAAGGGGCAGGAAAATAAAATAAACCACACAAAGTCCTCTGTCATTATCTTTCCTACTTTTCTTGTCTGTATTCCGGAACCACAATCGTGGCCCGGACATGAAGTGTGTTTGAAATGCCACCATCAGGCCACACAGGAATAACTGTGCAGCAGCTCTTGGAGCCACCTATTGGTGAGAGCTCCTCAAAGCTCCCCCTTCCTGGCTGAAAGGAGTAATGAGAAGAAAAGTACCAGGGGAAAAACAAAAAACCACCTTGACGTCCCATGTGGTTTGGTCAATGCAAATCCTAAGGACAGCAGGGAAATGCCAAGTCTCCTGCTGGCAAGATCAAGTTGAGGGGACTTTGCAGGTGGCCAATGTGTGCGGTGGGAACACCTGTATAGGAAGATAATGAAACTGTTCTAATTTTGAGAGGGAGTCCGCAGGCACATCTTTTCAGGGCATAATGACTATATGTTACCCCTGAAAAGAAAAACATAAAAAATAACAATAAAACAGTAATGGACTCACTTGAGGAGTTTCCCTGAAGTTTTCACATTAAAATGAGTCAACAAATGGAAGCATTTGACATGTGGTGAGAAACGTGCTAAATGAAAACACAGCCCAGCAGCATGGTACTTGTGCCTTCCCTAGAGAGACCAGGCCCCCTGAGCCCAGGAGGTAGATGTGCCCCACTACCTGGTAGTTGCTATCCATGCCGGCGTCAAGGAGGACCTGGACCACAGCTTTGTGGCCATTCCTTGCTGCCAGGTGCAGAGGGGTGTGCTTTTTAGTGTTGCAGCTCAAGAGGTTGGGGTGTGCATTGAGGAGCATCTTCACCACCTCTAGTCTCCCGTACAGCGCGGCCAGGTCCAGAGGGGTCTCAAACTTGTTGTTGCGCATGGTGGGGTCCGTCAGCTCCTCTAAAAGGACCTTCACCACCTCTGTGTGGCCGTACTGTGCCGCACAATGCAGGGCCGTCTCGTTGTCGTTGTTCTAAAGAGTTTAACAAGCAGATCCTGTCAGAAAGGTAACTGGCAGACTGGCATATGACTTGGGATGCACACGTGGAAAACCACTGAAATTTAAATGAGAAAAATAGCAGCAATATTTGGAGGCTACTAGAAGTCGGTCAGATTCCAGATATACTCCCCAGCAAATAAGCCTGGCCACTCCCATCAGCCACACTGTGCCCCAGTACTGCCAGAGGGGGGCTGTCATCAGAAACTATCAGATTTATAGTCTCCTCCTGTGTGCCATGAAGGAAGTATCTCCTTGCAAGGAGGTGAACTGAGGGAAGGTGGCAGGCCTTGGGCCGAAGCCCTGGAACACAATGCCAACAGTATCACTGCCATTGACTCATTTTAAACTTCAACTGGTTTTACAGTTTATATTCAGTCAGCCCTACAAGTACTGATTCTAGATTTGTTGACCATCCACTGCCTTATATACAAGCTTTCTTGAAAGAGTTTGTCATTTGCATAGCTTCTTGCATGCAAATTAACCAGCCAACAATCAAAGTAACAGAGCGGAGCACCGAAAATCATGAAAATCACGCTCATCACGCTCATTCAGATATCAGCCACAGCCATTTCCAGGGGGAGGGAGGTACTGGAGCTCCGTCATAGAGGAACTTGGCGGGGAGGGGGACCCTGCTGTCACCCTGTGCCTACTCCCAGAGCCTGCACCAAACAATGCATGCACAATTGACAGCACAGGGAAGTGTTTCTTATGTAGGAAAGATTCAATCACAATCACACACACGGGAATGTTTTGTGAGAGGTGCAAAATATTCAAAGTTGTAACAGGACCATCAATTCAAATTCACAACCCCATGGTCCTTTAATGCCAATTTTGTTTCAAAACAGGTAGAACCTGGGATGAAATAGGAGAAGTTTGTGCTTCAACCATCAGGAGCAAAATGTTAGTCATTCCAATTGTGCTCCTTCTTTTACTACTACTGCCAATGTATAATTAGAGCAGGAATAAAGTAATTTCCATGACTTCTCCCCTTTTTTAGATGCACTAATGAAAATAATTCTCCCACAAGATTTTGAGATTCCTAAGTTTAACCAGGAGTCTTCTGCCACTTTAGAGAAACAAAGCTTAGAGGGTGATGTGTCCATCAAGTCAATATTGTGCACCTTTCAGTGATCAAAAGGTAAAAATGCAATGTTTCCACAACTGCTTTAATTCTATTAATTACATTAAAAGTAACAGCCCAGGAGTTACCCAAACACACATGCAATTCCATCTGCTTTCGATCTGGCATTTGACTGCATCACTTTTTCCAGCTACACCAAGTGTACCAGAAAGATCCAGAGCCACTGGGAGTGAAGCCCCCAAGGTCAGAATGATAGAAAGAAGAAATTTTAAATGAAATAAGGACAGAAAAAGTGGTAGCAGGAGGCACATGCAAAGATAAATGCACACAGATAAATAGAGGAAGCAGCACTGAGCTCAAACACAGCTCAAAGAGAACAGCAGCTGAAGTGCAGGCAGCCTTCACTGGCCACAGGACACAGCTGGTTAGCAATGGCCTCCTAGGATACAACTGGGTCCAAGGGGTGGGTTACATGTCAGCCTAAAAGTCTGGAGGGAAGAGGAAACTCTGGGCAGAAAGCAGATCTTTGGGGTTCCCTGTGCCAAACCAACCACTTAAGACCCCCATTTGGAATGCCCATTTCCAATTGAACACCAGGTGCTCCCTAAGCCAACTTAGAGCTGTCACTTCATGTTCTCACCATGAAAGGCAGCTACATCAACAAAATACACAGGGGCTTTCTTTACAGTGGTTGCAGGGCAGAGCAGCAACCCAGAGAAGTTTTAAGAGGATTCTCAGGGTTTTACAGCTCAAGATTAGCATGACAGTAGGGCCAAGAAAGTCAGCTTATTCTTATTAAGACTCCAATCCAGAAAAACTTGTTTACTCTGAGGCAGACACTGCTGTCTCTTTTATATCCAAGTTGTCTCCCAACAACTCGAATAATCTGTCCTCGATTTTGTTAAAAAAAAAAAAATAGTATACCGTTAGGGCCTGAAGAACTGTAAAACTCTAAACTATCCAGCAGGAGAAAAAAAAAAGAAAAGAAAAGAAAAATTTTCTGTTTTTTTTTTTTTTTTTTGAGAACTAAAGCAACTACCACAAAGCTGCCTTACTGAAAGCAAAGTCTTGATCACTACCAGACAAATTTCCTGCTTCTGTTAAAAATGGCCTAACCACATCTCTGCAGAATGTTGTACTAAAATTCACAGTGTAGAAAGCATCTTTTTCATGCTTCAGTCTTTGCCAAACCTGGTCTGGTAACTATAATACTCTTGAGTTGAAGTCTGTGGTGACCCCATCTCTCAATTATTGAACACAGGCCATCATAATGAGCTCTTCCTACCTGCTCCTCTTTGAACGGGACAACTATCAGGGCAGGAAGCCACTAAGTGTTGATTCAGGGACCCAAAGGAAGGGGGGATTCCAAGGAAGTACAGATTTGTCATGACCTGGAATCTTCCTCTTTCACACCTACCAAGTCACACCACAGGTGCTCACCATACCTCAAGAGTTCCCAGAATCATATTACTATGTATTTGGACTGAGGAAGGAGACTAAGATCAATTAGTCTCCCCAATTTTCCCCAAGGTCTTTGCACAAACTCTCCATTCCTGCCCATCTTGAGGATACTCACTTTCATTTCTCCTTGCTACAGTTAGTACCTCTAAGAAAAAAGACACCAATACACTTTACATATGGAGACCCCATTTAACGTGTAAATCCGTCATATTTCTGCATTGTCTACACCTATTTATCTAACATATGCATAAACTACAAGCAATAGAAAACTATACAGAAACATTTGGTGGCTTTTCTCGTCTTGAAACTATTCTAAACCATCACTTCCCAGTGCTTAGATTTTAGCCCAACTGTACTCTTGTCCACTGTTGATAAATACTTAAGTTAGAAACAACAGAGATCTCTGTAGCAGCAAAGATATAGGTTTCAGAAATATACTAAAATTGGAACAAAAGGACAAACTGGGCCTCCTGAAATTTAGCAGACAAAGGAGAAACGTGAGAACAGAGTCCACATGGAAGAAGAGTTAGACTTACTCTGCAGTGCTCTGGAAGGCAGAACCCTAACCAACAAGATGGAATGTTTAGGAAGACAGGTATCAGCCAAGTATAAGAAACCAAAATCAGTAGAATCCAAAAAGATGCTGCCAAGTGGTAAGCCTGGTCGTTACCAAGAGAAACAACCAACCAGATGAAACAAAGGGTAGATGGCTCATCTTTCAGGTGAGAGAAGAGGATTCCTATACCGGATGGAAAGTTGGCCTAGATCAGTAGCTCTCAAATTGGCTTCATCCTGGAATTACACGAGTGCTTAAAAGTAACTAAGTCCCACCCCAGGCCTGCCAAGGTAGCACCTCAGAGGGTAAAGCCCAGGAAGATTGTTATTAAAAAGCTTACCAACCTAGCAGGTACCAACTTGACCAAGCAATCATCTATCAGTGTAAAAAGCAAGACAAACTGACATCATTGTGCCTTGTGACATGAAGGAAGGATATAACATCACTCCTGTGGCACTCCTGAATCTAAACTGTCAATGTTGGGGGTCTCTGTGGCAAATGGTTACCGTGTTTAGCCGTTACTGAAAGGTTGGTGGTTCAGTCACAGCCAGAGACATAATGTTTGTAGTTCTTAGTCATGAAACACTAAGAAGGGTGAAAGAATTGTTCCAGATTATATATGATCCTAGATTGTATCCTGGGCCAGGAAAAAAATTGCTCTAAAGGATATTATTGGAGAAACTGGTGAAATCTGAACACAGATTCTGTATTAGATTCTAGTATTCTATCAATGTTGAATTTTCTGACTTTGATAACTGTACTGTGGTTATACAAGTGAATGCCCTTGTTTTTAGGAGACACATGCTGAAGTTCCAAGGTTAAACAGTCATGATGTCATGACTAAGTATCAAACAGTTCATCATCAACTATAGCAACAATATACATATACGTTTGAGAGAGAAAACATGCATGCAAATGTGACAGAATGTTAACAACTGGTGAACCTAGGTGAAGAGTACAATGCAGTTTACTGAATCATGCTTGCAACTTTATGTAAATTGAAAATTTTTTCAAGATAAAAAGTTTTATAAAAGCTTCAGGTAAAAAATAAAAAATAAAAAATAAAATAAAATAAAAGCTTCAGGTGCAACCAGATAAGCTCACCAGAATGTGGAGGCAATTGGTCAAGAGAACTTCCAGGTCTCTTCCAGCTCTGAAACTTAATTATTTTTAAGTGTACAGGAAAATAGATCTAAAGCCATTTGACTATTGCTCATCTTATGATATTCGGAGTAAGTTAAAATTATTTTTAAAGGGGCAAATAAACAATTTTAGTAGTTGCACCTTAGCTATGAATGACCTACATTTTGGACTGATTTATGCTGAGTTGCTGAAAAAGAAAAGGCTCCATATGTCCAAGAAAAAGATGAAAGCTCATGAAAACCACCTCTGCTCCCAGAACTCCTAATTTCTACAGGTGCCTGAGTGGACTTAGCACACAAAACAATTCCCAGACACAATCTAGGTCAATAAAAACCCACAAATCAGGATAAAACCTAGTGAAGTTAGAGTCAAACTAGCTCAAGGAGAATTTGCATTTGTAGTAAAATCCAAACAACTTTATCTCTTTGTGCAGTTTGTATCATTTGGCCTTTGCGGGGTGGGAGGGAGGCAAAGGGCAGTATTTCCAGAAAGAGAAGTATGCTCTTATTCCATTTAGACCAATTTTCTTTTTTGTGTGGGAAATCAAGGGGTAAGAAAATGTGCTTTTAAGAACCAAAGGCCTACCCTTTAATCAGAGCTTTAGAAGCTAACTGAACTAACCACCGAGTGGGAAAACAATCACTTCAAGGTGCCTCCCCACAAAACAAAACCCTAAATAGACTAATTGAGCAATGTTTCATTAAGCTTCAACCCACCAGTAACAAACAACAAATTCTAAAGTGCCGTTTCAGAAATACCACAAGGTATATACCCTTTAAAAGTCAGATTTCAAATATTACTAGTTACTAGATAGTTGTACTTAATGTACATTCTCTTATTTTTAACTTCAAATTAATCCAGCAAGGTAGACAGATAGTACACTGCACTTTACAGAAGAGGAAACTGAGGCTTACAGAAATGTAACTTATAGAAGTCAACAAAACCAGTAAGCAGTAGCACAGAATTCAAACTTAGGCCTGACTTGAAAGGCTGTGACATTTAAGAGTTTTCTCCTCTACTACACTATGTCCCAAAAAAGAAGAAAACCAAGTATCTTCCTATTTTGAATATTAGAAAACAGAATTTATAGAGAGGGGGCCAAACAAAAGCTAATGGATTCCTCTATTCCCAAACTGCTTATCCGCCATCCCTATCAAGGCCAGACAGCTGAATGGCCCACAGAAGCTGTGGAGATCCAGCCCACGGGGAGCTCCATTTGCTAAATCAGTATTTCTTAAGGAATATCTGCCTTGTATCTGGCAACATGCAGAAGTACCTTATGTTTCTCTTCCCTGAGGTTACTATATTCAGAACAAGGGAAAGGAGCTAATGTGAATAATGCACTGACTCAACCAAACTCCAGACTGATGCCAAAAAGCAAACCTCAACCTGAATGGTTCAGATCAAAACCAGCAGGTGAGAGCACTGAGGAGAGAGGCTAACCATTACCAACACACAAGCTCTGCCTCTTGATGTGGCCAAGGCCAGAGGGGCTGAGCCGTTCATCACCAGGCCTACCAGGCCACTACTCTCCCCAGCCTCACAAGGAGGGAGACTTGAGGCCAGTGCTCTGCTTGACCCTGTGACTTCCTTTTCTATTTCAGAGCCCTTCCAAGGGCCAAGAATGAGAAAGCAGTGAGAGAAGCTAATGGCTGGGGAGAAGCAACTGAGGTTTTCAAGTCCCAGGCAGAAAGGCACGAACTCTAGGAAATATGGAGGGAGCCACAAGGGACAGCTTTTAAGAGTAAAACAAGAGTCACCATATCCCTTCCCCAACATCTCCACTACCAGCTATTGAAAATTAGATTCTACGTTAAAAGAAATAGAGCAGAGGAAAAAAAAAAAGCTAACCCAGCAAGTACAATTTAACCATTTTTCTATGCTTATTAAAAAGCTAATGTGTTTGACATTTCTTAATTGAATTTTTCTTTTTTGAATTTAAATGAATTTAGCAATCACAATGGTAAATTATGCGTATATTATGGTTCCTTCTCTTTCCCCATTTCGGCCATTTCTAAGCTCTTCAGACATTCTAGGAAAAGCACCCAACCTTTCCAGAATTAGCATGGGTTTTAAAAATAAAGCCCAAACCCACTGAAACTGCACTTTCCCATTCCCAGACAAGGCAAAAGCAGATGGGCCGAAGCAGACAATAGCCAGGGTGATGATGAGGAGCCCGAGTGGACAAGAGTAGAAGCCAGAGAGGACCAAAGAGGGAGTGCAGCTTGGAGAAATGATGCAGAGAAATCCTGGCAGCAAAGTACACACCTTGGCATTGATATAAGGGTCAAAGGGGCCGTACTTTTTGAATTCTTTGATCTCAAGAGTATTCTATAAAAAGGAGAGGAAAAGAAAATGTGATGATAAAATGGATGAAATATATCAAAGCAATGCCCAGCTCCGAGGGGGCCCAACATGAGAACAACTCGGATCTGCCTTCTGGGTGCCTGGAAAGGAAGTTAATGGGGAAGGCAGGTTTGAGGGCACAGCACTCATCACCCCCTCTTATCCAAGCATCCAACTGGAACCACATTAATGGTTTTTAAATAGATCAATGTGGTACTACTATCTCGAGCCATTAGGTTCTTCCAGCTATTGCAAATGTCTTGCCCAGCCCCTGCCCCACCCACCTGCCTGTCAGATACTCAGAACACTGGGCTGGTGTCCCACCTATCAACAGGATACTCCAGGGGGTAGGCAGCTGTGAACAGGACAAGCTAGCACACTCAAGTGGCTCAAAAATCCAAGCAGCTGTGTTCCAAGGCAAAAGTGAGCAAAGACAGGATTAGAAATGGTTGCCGAAAATTTCTTAAATGAGAAGGACTTAATGGGTGTTTAACACCCATTAATAGTTTGTTTAACATTGAGGAATATTAGATTAAAAGCAAACCTCCTTGTACATTTCCTCCAGATAGGAGAAATTATAATCACTTTAGCCAGGAGGAGTAAAACTGCATTTAGATTCTAAAGCTGCAATTCTAGAGACAATTTTCATTCTTAAAAATATCCTCATCGATGATCTTAAATTTCTGTGGCTTACCTATCCAGAAAAAACAGCCTGAGAGGGGAGAGGGAAGCTGATTAACAGCTACAAACACACAATCTTCAAATTGAGAGATTTGGGCACATTGCTTTAATTTTCTTAAACAACTCAGAGTAAAGCTCCCCTTCTGAGTCAGTCATGCTCTTAACAGCTCAATGAGAATGTGCATAGCCTTGCTGATAGGTGGGCTCGCAAGAGTGATTTCCTATTTTTTGAGGAATAACCTTGATCTAATCCTACAAGTAATGTAACAATCTCCTCTCAGCAAAGTCATTAGGAGAATAGTCCCGAGCTCACTGAGAAAGAGCAGCATCTCTCTCATTCAAGCAACTAAAAAAAGTACCTGCTTTAGTTCAGAGCACAGAGGAACACAGAATGGCTTGTCACACACAGAAAGCCCACCTCCTCTCAAAGGGACACATGATCTCAGATCCAAACCACAGGAAACGATATTTTATGAGAGGACTGTCTAGAACTTGCATAATGGAAGTAGAACTTTTTCCAAAGGAATCAATGTAAAAAAGAGGAAGTATGGTCTCAGAGTACCTAATCCATGGCCATTTTAAGGTATTTTTGCTCAAATGCTGCCTTTTTTATTTTCTAAGAATTATCTCTGCTTTGTCAAAGCATGGTCACTCTGAAGTTGACATGACACTCTGAAGTGTAAATGATTTTCACTCTGCTGAATTACCTCTGACCTCTGAGGTTACTCAGATGTTTTTGTGAGCTCCTTTTTCAGTCCGGTACAAGTCTGTCCACTTCTGCCAGCTGTGATGTAGGTAAGACAACAGCATGGTCCACAGAGCACTGACACATACTGGGAGGATTGCTATTTACTGGCTAACGTTGCACTGCCATGTGAATGGTCTAAACACAATGTATAATTAATTAAGCCTGCAGGTTTGAAATGGCCTCTAGGCAATTTTCCGGGATTTGCATTATTTCCCATTTTGCATGTGAGGTATTTAGATCTTCATTATAGCATGACTCCAAACCTGCACAATGTAAATGCATGTAAAATGCATCCTTGGGGTTTAAGATCTCCCTGGTACACTCACAAGCATAGTGCTGGGATGAGGGGAACCATTTGTAGGGCCTGGAAGAGCTGGTTCCCTGAGATCTGTGCTATGGAACTGAAACAGTGCTAGGACCACCACGGTCAGGCTATCACCGAATGGAAGAACACTTCTCTTCCTTCCAACCTGTTCGTTGACTCTGGTGTGTGAGGGCCCTTGATGGATGAGCAACCGCACTATCTGGGCATCTCCTTTCCAGGCTGCCAAGTGCAGAGGGTAACAGCCTTTAGAATCAGCCACGTTGGTCAGCGCATCGTTCCTCAAAAGAACCTCAACCACATCCCTAGAAGGCAAAAATCAATGATGAGTTTGCAGAACAGCGCTTCACATGTGAGCAGCATGAAGCCCTTTCAGATACTAGCTCACTTGGCCCCCTTCTCTCTACCTGAGCTCATCACCCAGTCTCCTCCTTTTATTCCATGAGCTACATGTACAGCTGCTGAAATGCAGCTGAAACATCTTGAGCCAAACCGATACTGCCTATCACCTCCTCATTTCTCTAGGTTTTCTAGACAATCCATCTATATTCCATTATTTTGAATATGTCTGGTCCCCTTGTCTAAACCTTGCAATGTTTCCTTGTTTGTGATGTTTAAACAGCATATGGTGATAAAATTTACATAAAGGTAGTCATGCAAAACAAGTATCATTATTCACCACATCATTCAGAGCATTTGGTTATGTGGGAGCTAAGAGCAGACAGGCAGAGCAGAATTAAAGTTGCTGCAAACATAAGCCAGACACATATGGTATCATTTGATACATCCAGAAAGAAGGGGTTGGCTTTCTTCGTGGTGACACCGCTAATTAAGCAGATACAAATGTATAATTATTTCCATGTGCATGGGGTCAAAGAAAACCCCCACTGTAAACAAAAAGAGCATCTGGAGATAAACTTGGCTAACAAGCCCTAGTCATTTAAGTTCAAGATTCGCTTTAATTTGGGTGACCCCACTAGTTATTGAGTGGGTTGGGAGGGTTCACTATAGAGTCCTTGTTAGCTTTGTCAAAGATGGCCAGAGAGAAGACATAATGAGCACATCTGATATATTTCAGAAAAGTTTCATGTAGGAGGAAACAATCATCACCTCTTTTTGGCACATCAGAGTCCATTAGGCTGGGCCAAATACTGTACAAGTGATACAGAATATCACAAGGTGGCAAGCGCCCTGCTCCTGGCTCAACAGAATCTAAAAGGGTTCCAATAATCCCTCCTTATAAAAATGAAACTTCTTTGTATCTCCTAGAGCATGATGCCTCAAACTCTCCTTATCACCCTCTACACTACTACACTCTGGTTTCCATTCTTCCAAGTCCTGGCAATTCTACTCAATGTCCTCCACTACAGTGCCTGCCCTTGGGCTGAGCCATCACATTCTCTCTCATTTGGAGGACAGTGCCCTGTGGAAAAGGCTGCCAAACCATTTAAACCTGTGTCATCTTCTTTTAGACTCCCTCCCAAAGCATAGCTTCTCCAGAAAACTTTCTGTAGAAATCCCACCCAACAACTACTAACCAACATCTAAGAGAATTAAATAGGCCGTATGATTTAGGTATTTTTCTCCTTAAAAATGGTCCTTTGTTTACAAGGCTAACTGTACGAGGGAAGAATGGCAAGCAAAAAGACAGAGTAAATAAATAACTACTTTAATAGGAGGGAAGTTTCTTATGACCACTTAATCTATTTTCAGGTTACAAAGGTGCTGGTTACCTAAGAGATTATCCAGCACCTTTATGATCTGGCTGCCCAAATATGACCAAATATTCAGATCATCATGGAGCCCTGCACCATTTCCAAGTAGAAAAGGACAAACAGAAGAAAAGGTAAAACTTAGCTTTTGAAGTTTTTTAAGGGGTGGAGTAGGATGCTTAAATACACTAAAAGAGACTCAGAAACTCTGGTTGGACTGAATTTAGTTTGTTTTTCCCCTGTTCCTCAACACTACTGCTTGGTAATTCTTTATAGAAACCCAAAAAGACCACCAAAAGGCCTGGGTTCTGGAGAGTAGGACAAGAATATAGCACATTAATACTTACTTATGGCCATTCAAAGCAGCATGGTGTAGAGGTGTATAGCCAGTGCTGTCAACACAGTTCACATTTGGCCCTCTCCAGATGCTATAGAGGTGGGGGGAAAAAAGACTGAAGTCACAAACCAAATTTAGAGCCAGCTAATCGCTTAGAAAAGAATTCTCTGGTGTTTAACCAAACCAGTTATATCCACATGACTTCTGATAAAGGACAGTAGCTATTTACTACAGAAATGCACAACACCAAGGATACACAATTGTTTGCTGAACAGGGTGTCAGGTGTCAAGATAATAGTGTCATCATTTAGGGACCCTTCTCATCTTTTTTTTTTTTAATTTTTAAAAAATTAAATCCATTTCTCTTCAGGCATATGTTTGAATTCTGCTCCATGACAAGCCATTGAAGTGTTACATCTTCTTTTGTGTATTTTCCTGTAAGTAAACTCTACCCGCAACGTAGGGCTCAAACTCACAACCCTGAGAGGAGTCACATGCCCTCTACCAACTGAGCCAGCCAGGCACCCCATGTACCCTTCTCATTTTTAACATTATTCACTCAGTCTGGGACTTGTGCCTCTGAATGCTCCCAGGACTGTAAAAACAGTTCATTGAAAGATCATCAAAAATAGCACAGAACCAACCATTCAGTCACAGGTATTTAATACCAAGCTCTGCACTGGTGACCGAAGACTTAAGAGAGACTTCAACACAGACCTACAGATAATCTGGATGACTTAACCAGCAAGAACCAAGATGAAAGAATCCACATTAATAAAAGCATCAGGACGTGTGTTAAGATGCAAGAGACAATGGGTCTTTCCTTTGTAAATGTCTTATTGTTAAAAAGAAGAGTAAAAAGATCTATAATTTGAATGCTTTATTTGAATCAGAAAAACTATGGGGATGCCTGGGTGGCTTAGTGGTTGAGCATCTGCCTTTGGCTCAGGGTGTGATCTCAGGGTCCCAAGATCGAGTCCTACATCGGGCTTCCTGTATGGAGCCTGCTTCTCTCTCTGCCTCTGCCTCTGCCTCTGCCTCTGCCTCTGTTTCTCTCTGTGTGTGTGTGTGTGTGTGTGTGTTTCTCTCATGAATAAATAAAATCTTAAAAAAATACTGTACTATGAAAGCTGAAGTGTCATCTAACTTAATCCTCAAAACCTTAATTTTTACCTCTGTTTTGCACCTTACTGCATGGCCAGAGCAGCTTTTTTTTTTTTTTTTTTTTTTTTTTTTTTTTTTTAAGAGCGGGGAAGGAGAGAACCTCAAGCAGGCTCCCTGCTCAGTGTGAGCCCGATGCAGGGCTTGATCTCATGATGGTGAGATCAGGACCCAGCCAAAATCAAGAGTCAGATGCTCAATTGACTGAGCCACCCAGGGGCCCCTTGGCCAGAGTTTCCAAAATAATATTAAATAGCAGAGGACAGTCTTGTTTTGTTCTTGCTTTTAATGAATGTCTCTACTGTTGGCAGTTGGTTTGAGATGCTCTGTAACATGTAAAGTAAGTATCTTATTTTTTTAAAAAAAGATTTTATTTATTCATTTGACAGAGAGAGAAAGAGAGAGAGCGAGCACAAGCATAGGGGAGAGGCAGGAAGAGGGAGAAGCAGGGAGCAGGGAGCCCAATGTGTGGCTTGATCCCAGGACCCTGGGATCATGATTTGAATCAAAGGCAGACGCTTAACCAATTGAGCCACCCAGGCACCCCAGAAGTATCTTTTTTTTCCTTTTATTTTTTTAAAATATTTTATTTATTTATTCATGATAGTCACACAGAGAGAGACAGAGAGGCAGAGACACAGGCAGAGGGAGAAGCAGGCTCCATGCACCGGGAGCCCGACGTGGGATTCGATCCCAGGTCTCCAGGATCACGCCCTGGGCCAAAGGCAGGCACCAAACCGCTGCGCCACCCAGGGATCCCTTTTTTTCCTTTTAAAAATGTTATTAAAAATAGTTGTTTAGGGGTGCCTGGCTGACTCAGTCAGCAGAGCATGTGACTCTGGATCTCAGGGTTGTGAGTTTAAGCCCCACATAGGGTATAGAGATTACTTAAAAATAAAAAACACTTTAAAAAAATAGTTAACTTAAATGCATTTTCTGCATCTGTAACAATAATCCCAGTTTTTCTACATTTAACCAACTAACATGTTGTTATCAATAGGTTTAATACTGAGCCATTCTTTCATTCCTCTAATTTGGCCATTATCCATTATGTCTATCTTGGTGAATTGTACTTAAGAGTGTCTACTTAAGAGTATTTTAATTAGGATTCTCACAACTGCATTCATAAATGAGGCTGATCTAAAGTTTTTGTTTGGGGGGCCCTGGGTGGCTCAGCGGTTGGGCGCCTGCCTTTGGCCCAGGGTGTGATCCTGGAATCCCAGGATAGAGTCCCGCATTGGGCTCCCTGCATGGAGCCTGCTACTCCCTCTGCCTGTGTCTCTGCCTCTCTCTCTCTCTCTCTCTCTGTGTGTGTCTTTCATGAATAAATTAATAAAATATTTAAATAAATAAAGTTTTTGTTTCTTGTGGTATGGCTATTGGATATTAGTATTAGGTCTGGGTCACAGATCAGCTGGGCAGCCATCTACCCATTTCTATATTCAGGAATCATTATTAGCATAAAGCACCTAAATTATAAAGAATTACCAGTAAAACCATTTGGACCCAAAGCCTTTATGCTTAGATGTAGGACACAGCATTAGTTATAACAATAAAGTTTGGAAATAGCCCAAAAGTCCATCAATAGAGAAATGATTATGATAAATAACTAAGGAATATAGTAGAACATCACACTGATATCACAATTTATATTGCTATGTAATAAGAAAGAAAAGAGATTATAATATGATGTTAAGGAGAAAAAAGAAACAAAACTATTAATACCATATAGAAAGAAACTATCCGGGAAACTGACCAGGATACTGGATTCAGTACACAAGTTTACTCCATTCCTATCTAAAGTTCTATGAAGTATAGAAACAAGTCCCACCCTACACCACAGATGGATAGATGATAAGACAGACAGGTAGATTCAGGTAAGAAAAAGGGAAAAGACTCATCAAGTAACTGACAATGTTGAGGAATTCCTAAAAAGCAGAAATTAGACAAGGTCTGATCTACAGAGGCACAGCCTAGAAAAATGAAATTAAAATAATCACACTCTGCGGCATCTGGCTGGCTCAGTCAGTAGAGCATGTGACTCTTGATCTCAGGGTTATGAGTTTGAGCCCCACACTGCGTGTAGAGATTACTTAAAATTAAAAAACTAATCACACACTGCTTTTCACCAATCAGACTGACAATAAAATGAGAATAACAGTATTTATAAAGATCAGGAAAACAAGCACTCATATATACCACTGGTATGAGTTTGAATTGGTGAATTCCTCTGGGAAGACAATTTGGCAGCATCCACCAAACCAAAAATAGGTATTCAGTTTGAGCCAGCATTTCCACTTCCTGGCAACTATTCAACAGAAATACTTGTACACATGCACAAAGATATTTGCTTATAAAGGACTGCTTCACTGTGAAAGCAAAAACTACAAATTTCATGTCCGTCAATAGGTGGGCAGTTATATACCAGGTATGCCCATATGATGAATTATTACATAACCATTAACAATAAGAACCACAACAAAGGGGAAGAAACAAGTTGGGACTATGTGTCCTGACACAGAAAAATTTCCCAAAACATACTGTGTTATGGGTAAGCAAAAAAAAAAAAAAAAAAAAAAGTAGTCATTGTGTAGTACACAAAATATGAGTCCTTGCTTTAGAAGTATGTATGTACATACACATATAGGGTGGAGAGTGATGGGAAAAGTGGTTGCCAAGAGTTGACAGTGGTTACCTATGGGTAAGGAAATGTGTGTTGGGGGACACTACAGATGGTGAAGAGAGATTCTCATGTTCTGCTCTGTATTCTAACACACTGTTTAAAACATAATGAGAAATGCATTCATGTGTTTTTATACTAATAATTTTTTAAAAGAGGGGAAAGAAACTATGCACAGGGAAAAGAAAACTGTTAATAATAAGTGGTTATATATGTGTGACCTGGGTCACTTTAATGAGCATGTCTACATTAGGTTTAAAATCTTAAATTTTAAGTGAAAAGAGAAGATACATATGCTTTAGTATCCAGGTTATTTGTTGATTGTCAATTAAGGATGCTGGTGACAGCGTCAGGAGCCTGAGGTACATCCTGGCATCCCTATCCTCCATTGAGCTTGGATTCGTACAGCACTTTCCAAGCAAAGAATTAAAAGCAATTATATCTCTTTGTCACATGTATATGATAACCTCATTTTCTAAACCAAAAATTGTATGCCTGTGCCTGACAATGAGAATGATAGAAAGTGAAATGGGTCTGGAAATCTAGGATGTATGATTTTCATATTCATACTCATTTTCAAAGTGACCCACCAGACAAAACATTGTCATTCTATTAAGAAATAGATGACACATTTAGAATCAAAAAACAAATAATTGGCCCCAAATCAGTGGCAGATCCCAAACTTCACATTTGGAGTCTGGCATTTAGCCACACAAGGACTTTATGACCTAACTGGGATGACAAGAGGCCATAAAGATGTGGTAGTACAAGGCTGGAATAACAATCCAACAGCAAGATGACTGGAATAAACCAACAGGAGTTGGGAAAAAGAAAATACCAGTACTGGGTCAGGTGGTCAGGAGCACAGGTCTGTCGGCTCTGAGGACTCGTTCAGGAACCTGTTAGCTCCTCAATGATCTCAGTCCAGGTCCCAAAATAACCTGAATATAAGACTTAAACTGCCCTTGCTTTTAATAGAAAGGCAGGACTGAGCAAGCCTTCTTTCACTCTCTAACACCTACCTCCATGTCTCTGGTCTAGAGGTGGTTACCCTTGTATATCCCTAAAAACAATTCAAAAGGACAAGGAAGAAAGAAAAAGACTTCCCTGCATAAAGCTGCAGCATTTCCAACTAATAAGATCTTCCCCGCCTCCCCTGCTTTTTTCCCTAACTAGCATCTCCTATGAATATCCATCTAGAAATTTGGGCGAATGGGGAATATATTAAATAACATCTAAATGAAAACAGA